GGGGGGGGGGGGTAACAGGACCCTTGTTTTTACACAAAAGAAAAGGAGGGTGTGAGAGTCAAATAAGAATAATTGTCATTAGTATTCATGATGGGTTTACTATAAAAAATCACAACTAATTATTCGTGTATTTCTTGTAAGATTTTTTTGCAATGAATTTCTAAATAAAACTAAATTTTTTGTCTTTTTCAAAATTCCAATTGAGAACTTTGCTCAAATCCCATTACATGTAATTAAAAAATATACTTTTTAATTTTTGCAATGATTTGTTCAAAATTTGGCAATATTTTAACAAGCGTTAATACTTGCCATTGGAAATTGCCAAATAATTCAATAATAAATGAAAATATTTGACTAGACGTTTAGAATAAAAATCTCTTAATATGCTCTAAAAAATATATATTTTTAAGGAATTTGCCACTCTGCTAACACAAAGTGTAAATCACGGATTTGAGGCTGTGTATGAGCTCACAAAGATGTGCACTATAAGAATGTCCTTTGTCAAGGGCTGGGGAGCTGAATATCATAGACAGGTCAGTAGATCTTCAAGAGACATAAATATATATTGTAAAATTTTTAATTCTTGGATACCTTTGCTACACGAAATTCACAATGGTACTAATGTATTTTCTCGAGATCTTAATATTTCCATTTGAAAGTTAAAGATAAGGATCAAGATTATTTAAAGTTGTTTAAAAATAAGATTTTATCTCATTTCTGAAAATTTTATAATAATCCTTCTTTTGTATTACAGCATAAATTATACAGTACGCACACGCAGGGTGTTTCATAAACAATATAATTTTAATCTCCCATAATAATTTTGTAACCGCACGTCCAACATACACCCTCGCCCCTAAAAATGATTTTTGGAAGTTGGTTGATGTTTAAAATTATGAAAAAATTATTTAATTATTTTTAAGGATGTAACATCTACGCCATGTTGGATTGAGGTTCATCTCCATGGTCCTCTGCAGTGGTTAGATAAAGTTCTAACCCAGATGGGAAGTCCTGGAAATCATATTTCATCTGTTTCGTAAACTAAACAGAAAATAAAAGATTTTATAGAAAAAGGCTGATGACCCTGTTTTTCAGTGAGCAAGCTCTTTCATCAATTTATCTTAAATCAACCTTTAATCAACTGAACCCTGCACTACACCGGACACCCGACAATCGACAAAATTCAGTTTAAATAATTATTTTTAGTATTATATGTGGTTTTAAAAACTAATTTTAAACAATTTTTAAATTTAAAGCATTTTCTGAAGATTAAGTGTTTTGGTCAACAAAATTATTGTTTGATCATGATGAATCTCTTAGCTTTACTTATCACAACATTTCCTTAATGACCAATTTTTGTACTTTTTAATCGTATAAAACTGAAAATGTGATTAATAATGAAATTTAATCTACAGCTTTCTTGAACAGATTAATATTTTTGACTTTTGTTTTTCATCTAAAAGTGCATTCAGTTTTCTCCCAAATAAGTTATAATTTTACAAACACCTGTAAAATTTGTATTCTTTAACAATCATAATTCACAATATAAATATACAATATACATGCATTATATAAAGTTCTAGTTACAAAGTTCATTTCACCAATTTTATAATTTGTTAAATTGTCGTAAAATACACTTCAATGTACATATATATGATATATATTGACGAATACTGTTCGGACAGAAATTTTAAGAAAATAAAATCATAAATACAAAACTTGTTAAATGATTTAAAGAATGTTAGCAAATTAGAGGCTAAGAATTTTCTTTTTATTAGTTTTTACGAAATTATTGTGTAATTTCATAATGAACGTGTGCACGTGTGCTATAAAGTTTTGATTGGTTCCCGGATTTTCTCCAAAAAAATTAGGATATTTCCAAAATATTTTTTCAATTGAAATGAAAATAAAATTGAAATCAACTTTATATTTTGACTTCTGCTTTGTTTAATGCTTATTTGATCTAGAAATAGTCATTAAAATAAGATAAGTACACAATCGTTTTATAAGACTACCTACCTATAAACTACCTATAACACTATTAATTTGGTACGACGTGCTATAAAGTTTTTGGACTTAAATTTTCGTTAAATCTCAAAGGTTCAAGCCTTTATAGATTTATTTTTGTCCCGAGCTTTTTGTCCAAACCTTTAAAACATTGCGAACCAAAATAACAGTGTTAATATTTTAATTTTGTCCCGTGATCAACCATCAAAATTTATAAATTATTGTTTTTGGTCTCACATTTATCATAACTTACTAAATTTAATAAATAGCAACATTGGATTTTTTTAATTAAGGTACAAAATTGTCACATACTCGTTATATTAAAATAAATGAAGTTGGTAGGAACTGTTATAAATGGCGCAGACCACAAATCAAAAATGTTTTTCTGAATGTGTTAAGCCAAGAAATCAGATTTTGAAGCAAGGTTCTCAAATGATTTGATCCAGTAATGACTGGATTGTTTTACGATAAATTAGAGACCCTGAACTGAAAACTCTAGACTGGGTTATCCTTAATCCGGAGATCAATAACAAGAGAACAAGCCTTATTAATCTGGAGATGAAGAAAAAGAGGAGATCAAGCATTGATCTCGATATTCACCATTCTATAGTTTTCAGCTCTGGTTATTTAGCCTTAACTTTAGACTACATGTTCACCCTTTAGATGGAGATTTCTCGTGTTTTCTTTTTTATACTTATTTTTGTCTGTTAAAATTGAAGTATATGAATTGGAGATCAAAATATTAATCCGATACAGAAAAGATTTATTTGTTGTATGTTACTTTTAATTGACTTGTCGTGACGCTTTCGCTGAAGTTATCAAAAAATCATAACGGAAAGTAAAACTATCAAGCATTATAATTTACAGTTGAAAAACTTACATACATATACGTACGCATATACAGGGTGTCCAGATGTAAATGGGAATTAACCCACTAGCGGCTGAAGAATTTTTTTTTATATTTTTCTTTGAAAATTTGATTAAGAATACTTATTATTGGTTAGATCAAGGAAAAAAAGTAAAAAATGCAAAAAAAAAATTTTAAAGGTGTTTTTTTAGGGATTTTAAGAGTGGCCTTATAAGTCACCACAGTTGCTGCAGGGCGGGTTTACAGAATTTTTCCTAAATTTATGAGAAAGGCAAAATTAATTAACTAAAATGTTATATAAATGGCCATAGGAACTATTATTTACCCAACAATACGTTTACTCTTTATTTTCAAACATTACTAAAAAACAATAATGCAAAAAAAATAGTTTATTTAATAAAAACATATTATTCACACCATCCTTTTACGTGAAACCCGAAGAAGTGGTCAAAGCAAATGGCTCTATCACACTTATCATATTAAGTTTGACACTTTGTTGAACNAATTTACCATACCTTAAAGGCTGCTGTTTTTTGTTTTCCATAAATTTAGTTTAATTGTTCACACCTCAACTTTACACGGTTAAATAATTTGGAAGATGAGTAGGTAGAACCGTTTAACTGTACACATGTGTGTCCCATATTGTTTACTGTATCATAAAATGACTCCCGCGGAGATAAACTCAAAATTGAGGAAAATAGATGAGTTTTATGTAAAATAATTTATAGGGGACGTATAAGTCACCGCAGCCGCTAGTGGGTCAATATTATTACCTAATTTGTATGATCATTTATAATACAGTTAGTTCTGCTAGAGTTTATTTTATGTAAACGGTAATATAAAAGACTGTTTTATTAATCTACAAAATGTTGTGTGATGTTCTGCAACATACCTGCAAGATAAACAGTGCGGAGGAACAACTGTACTGTGCTTGTATACAGAGGGAGAGAACCCCCGGACGCCATAAGCCACCGCCATGAAGACACGAGCCTCCCATATTTTATAGCCTCCACCATGCAGTAAGAGCCTCCGCTATTCATTTAACGAGCCTCCGCTATAAAGCACAGTTTCTTATAATTTTTGGTTTTAACATGTAATAAAGTTTTTACTTCATTTTTTTCAACATAAGAGTTTTACTTAAGATTAATGTTGTTCATTGATTGCCATGATTTGTAACTTATATTGACTCATAAAGTGGTTTATAAGATTTATATTTTACTATAAAACATTTCTTATGCAGTAAGGAGGCTATTTTGAAATTCATTTCTGAATTGAACTTAGTTTATTTTGTTTTAATCTCTGATTCAAGCAATACCTTTTTCGGAATTTTTCTAGATTCAGTTTCTTTGTTAAAGTCAAATTTTTTATTATCTTAATCTAATAAAAAAAATTTTAAAAGTATCGCTTAAATCAAAGATTATAAAATATTAAACAAAATTACCTTCAGAATATTTTTTCCTTTTCCGTAAAATTTGTTTGCAAGTTTTATAAACCACTTTATTAGTCATAATTAGTCACTTTTTATAAAAATCAATTAATACTTCTGATCTTTGATAAACTTTATATGCTACTATGTCGAAAAAAAATACAAAATTTTTTTTAATTTAAGTAAACTATTCCGTATAGAGGAGGCTCGTTTACTGTAGAGCGGAGGCTCTTACTGCATGGCGGAGGCTCGGTCTGCCTAGCACATCTGGGAGGCTCATGTTAGCATAGCAAAGGCTCATGGCGTCCGGGGGTTCCCTCCCTCGTATAAAGTAATTTTTCGATTTACCAAGAACAGCAGTATGCTATCAAAACATAAACAAACACATGCTTAACTTTAGCAGACGAAACATCTACGGGCTAGACTAAATCAAAAAACCATTTACAAAGACTATATCAAAATCTAACCCAATTCCCATGTTTATGGGGACACCCTGTAAAAGAGCTCTTTCAAATTCAATTAGATTGCATTTGGTTGAAGCTTGTAGATGTAAAAGGTAAATTTTCAATTCTATTTTGATTGAGACCTGATTTTATATAATTCCAATTTTGGTAAGAACAACCTGGGTTAAAAAATTTTCACAGTTTTTTTAATTCTGAGCCTTAATTTTGCCACTATTTTATTCAATTTTACACTTCTGGCTTAATAGGATCCTCTTCCAAAATCATTTTGTTTTGTATTTTGAGTGTATTTCCAAACAATGAAAATTGTTATGCAACTTGAATAGATTGTTTAAATAAGAATTTTACAAATGATTATCTGAACACTACCTTTATGGTTTTTACAGCTTATCAGCTTGTACACATCTGGATCCATTGAATGTACTGTAATTAGACGCTGCTATGCTATTCATAACTTGTTGTGTTCCAACAATAAGATGTGTTGTACTGTAGTGCAGCTGTGTTGTACTATGATGAGTACTTCTGTTGCTGCTACCTGATGTGTTGTACGAGTTGTACCGCATGTCCTGAAATAAATACATTTCAAAACATTGCAATTATTTCTATCGATAGAGTAACAATTTTCATAAATTTAATGACATGATTGGAAATTCATTAAAAAATGGCAACTCCAGGTCTAAATATATTGCGGTGTTTAACAAACGATTTTTTAAATATACAAAAACAAAATACCAAGTAAAATGACCTTATTAGGGTAAAAATTGAAAATTAAATTTATCGCTTAGAATTCCAGCGGAAAGGTATGATACTTTTGCATAGACATTATCTAAACGTTTTTTCAGTTACAACAAAATCTAAAATTATCATATTTCAATGACATCATGTGTCAACCATTATAAAATAAAATATATTTACTTGATTTTAGAATTAGCAAGAAATTAACGTTTTTCGTTCTCGCTCGAACATGATTTAACAAATTAACACGTTCATACAGACCAGTTCCTAGATTCCAACTCTTCAAAAAATCACGGGGATTTCTGGGGAAAATGTAGCAAACCGTCAAATGTTTAAAAAAAGTTATATTTTGAAAAGACAATTTTAAAACAATTTTGAAAAAAATTAAAGATATCTACAATTAACTGTTAGATACTACAATTTAATGTAATATTTGAAAAAAGTTTAATCCATGACTATGACAAAAAGCATCATATAGTGTCTGTCTATGCAAAAGTATCATACCTTAGCTTTTTCTCAGGCCACAGTTGTCTTTGAAAAGTAAGACAAATACCAATGAATAGCTAATAGACTATTTAGTTTACCCTCAAATAACCCAAAAAAGTGAACGTTCCTTTAAAAGGTTTCAACAATGCGATGATCATCCTTACTAGTCGTGCAAACTTTTTTTAGACGCACTTTGTTTTTAGATAGCTTTCAAAGATCAAGAACGATCTTCAGTTTGTCTTTAAACTCTTACGTTTAGTGGAATACACTAAATCTTTAATTGTTGTATTTTTTATTTTGTAATAAATAAACTGAAATATGACTTATTACATAAAATGAGTACATACTCCTGTATACTTTGCTTGTCTTGGTGTCTGTTTGTTTGTCAAATCAGATACCGGAGATTTAATTTTTATAATTTTAATTATTGTAAAGTTGATAGTATTGATTCTTACATGGAAATGCAAATATAAAATTTTTGCTGAATTATTTTTAGGAATTTAATGTTTTTTTTTCAGTTAAATAATATATACCCTTGATGTCTCTCCACTGTTAACCCGTGTTTCCTCATACTAAATATTTGATCGAAAAATTAGTTTACTTATCAATACTAAAAGGATAAATTCACGATTCGACACAATTCTGACATTAAACGTCAGTTCGAGGAATAAGATTGGGAACTAGTCTCTTTTAAATTAACATCCTTGGAAAATACATCATCAAATTTTGCTCTTTAAAAAAATAAAGATTAAAAAAAAAACTTCAACAAAAATAAAAAAGAACGTACACAATAAAACTCAAACTTGTAATATCTTGACTTTTCCAACCTTCAAATTTAGACAAAGCAAGATTTTTTGAATTTTTGTTGAGACAAGACGGTCGAAAGGACGCCTGGTGATCAAAACAGCTAAAGTAGCCAAAACTATTTTAACAAAATGTAAAACAAATGTAAACATTATTTAAAATTTGTCTATTTTTTTATTGATGAACAAAGTCAACCTTTTCTTATTTTGATTTGAATACTTACAATGAAGACGACAACATCTTTAACCTTGATCCAGGCAACTCCCATAAAAAGAAGGCAGACCAACAGATAAACTAGTCCAACAACCAGTTGTTCTAGGGAAAAACTCCTTTCATTGATTTTCAACAACAACATTATTTACTCTAGACAAACAAAATAACATACACTTTTTATGTACAAAAATGATTGTGGTTTATAACGAATCCATCAACTTTTACTTGTTTAATCTTCTTATTTTGTTTTGCGCATTTTCTGGAAATCAAACGAGGTCAATCAAATCTCTATTTTTACAGATTTTTATTGGATTCAATTGAAACCTTTTGATTGAATTTTCTGAATTGAAGAAAAATTTTTCACGTTAATTATTTAACGCAAAATATTTTTATATAAAATATAATAAATATAATTGAATAAAAGTTATATAAATTTAAAGATATTGAGAATCATATCTGCAGAAAGTTTTTTCTTTGTTTAAAAAGACAAAAAATTATAAAAGGAGAGAATCAAAAAATTTGTGTTTTATTGGTGAATTGAAAGCTTGCTGGAAAATGAACCGAACTATTAATCTGCATGTGGCACGACACCCCGTCTTATAAAGTGCCGGAGTTCTCATTCGTTTATTTTGTGACATAATATTCTTTACATTAAAAATTTCATCTCTCTTTGGTTGGTTTAAAACTGTTTTCACTTTGAAGTGGAATTCAAAATTTAAATAGAAATCTATCAAGTTCCAGACTCAACCGCAAACTTTAAACAAATTCTAATTCAATAAAAAAATAAGGGGTTCTTATTTAGTGGAACAAATATATCAGTTATTTATCTCTGAACAAACAATGCTCTGAGCTGTGGAAACGGTTTGAGGGGGAGTTCATTATTTTATTTGTTAATCATCTTAATCAGATTATTTTTTTATAGGTTTATAACACTTCTTGCTTATACGAAACCTTTTTGACTTTAAAAGCATTTTTAACAAATTATGTATTTATCCTCTTAAGTGTTATCTCATTAGAAAATAATTAAATAATTAACAAAATTAGAAATGTGCTAAAATCCCTATGGACAGAAAACTGCAAAAAGGTTGATTCCATTGAAAACCATTATAATAATACTTCAAACACAAAAATGTTCATTATTTTCTGGTTTAATTAAATGATTTTTATCAGTGTTTAAAAGTGAGTGATGAGAAGATAGAACTTACCAAAGATGAGAATAAGAATACCAAGGGTGACCTCTATCAAAAGTCCCGCATACAGGATTAGGAAAGGAACTACACAGGAGATCTTGCTGTTCCAAACACCATACACTTAAATAAATATAAAAGAATTGAGAATTTGTCTCAAATTGTAATTTTCTAGTCCTCATATCTTTGCAACCTTCTACATATTCAAATTCGATCCATGTGACAAAAAAAGATGTACCGAGGTTGCTATGAAGAATGAATCCCTTTTTTCTCCTAAAATTCAAAGCACCGTTGAACTCAGCTTAGAGTTAAACAGTAATATCCTGAGTCAAGAGTCAAGACAAAACAGTTTATAAATAAAAGAGAAAATCAGAAAATAAAAAAAAACATGAAGGAACACTTTCTTTTTTATATTCGTACAAATAATAAAGGAATTGAGTCTTAGCAACAAATTAAAATATTTTAATCCTCTTTGCAACGCAGTGTGTATCCTAACCTACCAGTGGAAGGGTGTCAGCAGAGCTTTCTAAGCCTGTTGGCAAAAAGGGTGCTTTGTGCGTTGTACTAGATATAGTAGTCTAGATATCAAGGACACTCAAACAATCAGGGATGAAGTACATGCAGATACCGGTTTTAAGGGGGAACTTAAAATCAAATACCACAAACTGGTTTTTTACCCTCCTCACAATGGAAACTGGATTACTCACGGCAGACCTCTGACAATGATAGGCTAAAGACACACTCCCCGATGCTTAGCGGGTTATTTTTTCTTTAAAAAATCTGTCCTCGTGGAAATACACGTTAACAGTGAGGACTATGATACATCATACCTGTTACCCTTACAACCCCATCCTCATCCTCCGAACCTTCTAAAATTCAACCTTAGCCTACTTCACGAGCAGATATAGTGAAACTCAGAAACTGCTTAAATGTGGAATCTTAATCAAAGCTTTCTGAGAGAGATCATGGTTGGTATCATGGGTGTTCCTTTCCTAGGGAGTACTCCTACCCGAAAGCAGTTAAGGCTAGGAGGTCTTTTAATTTCTTTCTAAATTACTGCAAGACACTGACTCATGTAATGCAGCTGACAAAGGGAAGTTGTCATTATACAACAATGTCAGCAATAAACTTGCATAGATGGCCGATATCAAATACAACTGGAATAAATACAGAAACTCAAATTGCCTGGTCAGCTATCGAAACTGCATATTAACCATCGGGGGGGGGGGGGGGTTATGCAGCTAATTGAATGAGCGATACAGGACATCCAGAAAAACAAGAAGATTGGACAAATTATCATCTGCACTCTGCATTAAATACATGTATCAATAAATTTGTTTCATAAAAAATTAAAAATTATAAAATTGATAAAGTTAAAAAATCATCTTTGCAACCTTGATATATCAATTTGATATTGAAACTTTATAAAGCAAACATAGATTATTTGATGCAACAAAATGTTTTGATATATCTAAACTATATGAAATTGTCTTACAAAGATGTAGGAAATAAAAATCTTAATTTGTGGCAAAGCCTTGATATTAAATTGTGTTATGACAAAAGTCAAAAACTCTTTATCCTACCCTCACTAAAGAACAAATCATTTCATATATTATTTTTGAAAAGAAAAGAAAACTTTATATTACGAAAAAGAAGAGTTTTATCTAAATTTATATCAAATTGTATCGGACAAAGGTCAAATAATCTTTCTTATCCTGTCTTCTAGTAAAGAACATATCATTTCATATATTTTTTTAAGAAGAGAACAAAACTTTTTATTTCGAATATCGTTTAGAATCTTAGACGACCAGAAAAAAATTCCCANGAAATGTTTGAGGCGTTATTTTTCAAGAAAATCTACTATCTCTTTCATTCGTGACCATGGTCTGCTATTTTTTTGAATATTCATTTTATGAATGATGTTTTTTTTAAATCCTATTTTTCTTGCAAACGTTGCCGATCGAATTCTGATGTACTTGATCCCTTGCCTTATTTTTGTAAACATTTGTAAAAATTTACAGCGCAGTTATTGAATTATTAAAAACCACCTATATCTACATAATGCTATGTGCCGGGTAACCAACAAAGAATAAAACTTAAATTTATTCAGTATTTATTCAGTTTTTAACATTCTTGATTTACTGCAATTGTAAACTTGTTTATTCTTTTCAAAATCATTCAGTTTACCATTAAAGAAGACCAAACACATTTTAAGACAGTATGATTTTAAGAGTTTTAGGGTTTTCTGAAAGTCTCATCTTTTGCAGTTAATCCTGTATTTACCAGACAAAGAACGTAGAGGTACTCCTTGAGCATTAAGTTTACAAAAACGACATTCGTAAAGCACAAATTGGACTCTGATCTGTTGATTTTTGGAGGAAAAATCACCTTGCATTATATTTGTCAGAGTAGATGCTATAAAACTTATGCTGATTCCCATAAGTGCCCCGACATCGTAGGGCCGAACCTCTGGAACAAGAAGTAGATATACAGTGATAAATAGAAAATTCTGGAAAACGAAGTCGACTTTTAGACTCAATTTATGACTCTAAATAGTCCAATGAGCGCGCATGAGTGCAGTGTAAATAGACCCATTTCACTTAATAAGTGATTTTACAACTTACTAGTAAAGCTATTGGCTTTGTAACAACATCAAATGCACCTCAATATTGCGATAGTGTCATCTTCCTATTCCACAGTTTTCTGGTTATCACTGTTCATATTTTAACTTGTCGGTTACGGTGCAGTGTATGACAATATGCATTGATTGTATATTTTAAAATGCAGTAAACACAAATCAAGGAATTCAGCAGAGAAAGAGAATCATGGAAGATAGTAGCAGCATATTTCTCCGGAACCGGGCCACCGGAGGAGACATATAATTACCGGAGTTACAAATTGTCACGCAACCTCCCAGCGGAGAAGGAAAAGATAAATAAACCACGAAACCTATTGTATCTTTGTATCTTTGTATCTTTGTATCTTTGTATAATATACAAGGCTACAAGAATATTAGAACCCAAGGATTTTTGGGCGCTTTGCGCCCATCTTCTATTTAAATTGTGAACATGTTCTTTTTGTTTACATTTTAAAACAAAGAAGAAAAAAATTTCGCGGATTTAAAAAAAAATTAGCGGATTTTCAATAATTTTAATTTTTTTACAAAACTAAAAAACTTTAAAACACATTTTTTTCATTTTTATCATTCGTAAACCTTCCCTGTAGGGTTTCCAATTGCAATAGCATTGCGCACACCAATGCGCAATGGTTGCTTCCTTTTGCGCATTAGGGGTGCGCGCAATATTGACATTTTAGCGCATTTATTTGCAATATCTATTGCGCAAAATGTTGTCATTGTGAATATGAATTTTGCGCTATTGCTTTATTGCGATTTAGCGTTATTGCGTTCTAGCGCATTGTATACTGTTTAATATCCTTGTGAAAAGAACCCATGGCCCCATCCTATCCAATCCCGGCCCCTCTTTTCAGGTATTTCCAGCTTGAGGTACAGCGTCATTTACATTTACACTATTTTATTTCATAAAGCAAAATATAACATTGGTAAATAAATGGACTATAGAGCACACCTCCCCGGAAGCGATTTTCACCTCGTTGTTACGACCACCTCTAAAATTTATTTTATAAGTTGAATGAAATGCATGGGAATACAAATCTGTTTTTATCAAAATATTTCATCGGGCCCATTGGATTTTACGGCCAAAATA